AGAGAGAGAGAGAGAGAGAGAGAGAGAGAGAGAGAGAGAGAGAGAGAGAGAGAGAGAGAGAGAGAGAGAGAGAGAGAGAGAGAGAGAGAAACATAGCCAGAACAAGCAAGTGTGCCATGAGCTCAAATGCACACTGTACAGTTTTGTCTGCAACAGTCAGAAGAGATTGCTAGGCACAGGAATCAGAAAGAACACTTGCGAGGGTAAACACACATGCAAACAAGAGTGCAAGACAGTATCTGTATCGCTGGCGTAACAGCAATTCCCTCGTGTGCATCTGAGACGATGTTACATCTCTCAATTTCCAAATGATAATCACTGGAATGCCAAAGCTAGAAGACAAGGGGGGGCAGAAGACTGATAAAACGGGCGCCCATGCCAATGGCTAAAGACGGACCATCATAACAACATAATGCATATGTGATATAGTGCAACAGGAGCTAATGAGATGGAGGCCAGTCAAAATCATGACAGCAACAAAATACTGAACATATGAAAGACAGCATTACAAGCAGATAATTCAATCATAACTGGCATAAAAAAACAACATCATACTTACCAGATGTGTGCTTATGTGAGTGTTGTCAAACAAACTATACACAACTCCACAGAGACAGCATGACTGTGCCATTCTGCCATACCATTTCGTGTGTGTTATGAAATTTCCCCACAACAGCCCCAATTCCACCCAGATGAGTAGATTCAGAATCAAAGCAGGAAGTGGGTATGTGTGTATGTTGTGTAGACCATCACCAGAACTTACCCCTTTTCCACCAGATTCGTAGATCCAAAATTGAAACAGTCTTACCTTTTAATCTTACATGTGATATTTTAAACTATTGTAATGTCATGAGAGAGAGGGGAGGAGGAGGAGGAGGAGGAGGAGGAGAAGACAGACGGACAGACAGACGGACAGATGGACCGACGGACGGACGGACCGAACGACCGACCGACGGACCGACGGATGGACGGACGGACCGACCGACTGACCGACGGACCGACGGACCGACGGACGGACGGACGGACGGACCGACCGACCAACAGACAGACAGACAGACAGACGGACCGACCGACCGACCGACCGACGGACGACCGACGGACCGACCGACGGACCGACCGACGGACCGACCGACGGACCGACCGACGGACAGACCGACGGACAGACAAACAGAAGAAGAAGGGGACAGAAAGAAGGAGAAGCAGAAAGAAAGGAGGAAACAGAAAGGCAAAGAAGAAGAAGAGATGAGGAAGAGGAGGAGGAGGCGGAGGACAAAGGAACACCAGGTTGAGCATTTCTGTAATGAATAGTGTCTACCTGGTGGGACAATGAAGCATTAAAATAAAAAATAATAATATAAAAAAAAAGCGAGGCAAATAAAGACAAACTGGCATGAATATGATGTGCAAGTTACCTGTTGAGAGCTAATGCCACAAGGGATACTGATCCCTTCTGATTTCCAATTGCTCCTCCCTGTCGGTTCTGCTGTTGCTTCATTTCTTCAATCAGGGGAAGGGCTGATGGTCCACCTGCAATGGATTCCTATTAGATAAAATAACTCAGGCCCAGGCATGCATAAGACGACAGAAAGTGAACAGATTCAGATGTTTACATGAAGAGGAGACTCAGATTCAGATATTGAAATCAAGAAGAGACTCATAACCTACATACAAGTGTTTTTTTGTCTGTTTTTTTTTTTTTTTTTTTTTTTCCCCACTCATAACCTACATACAAGTGGTTGTTGTCGAAGAAGGGTGGGAATCATATTTTGATGATGCATGTGAGGCCTATGCTAGGCCAGATTCATTACAGCGACATATTTTCTTTCTTCTTTTAGCGCATTGGGCGACAGATTTCAAACAACGCTCAGAACATCAACAGACACCTCCAACGGTCTTGTAGCATGCCCAGATCCTCCTACACGGGCCCTTAGGGGGAGATGCCACCGGCAAAGAGGATTGGAATAAGTGTCTGAATCTGGACGTCTTTGTGGAGAGGTGCAAAAGATTGTGATTTTGATCTGCTTTTCTGCGTCTCTCTGTGGAACACGTCCAGATTCAGACACTTATTCCAATCCTCTTTGCCAGTGGGATCTCGCCCTTAGGCCCGACATTGTATCTAGGGGACCCTATCTCGATTTCAGGTAGACAGGAAGGCCTTTGGTACGCATGCAGTCCAGGTACGTACGTATGTCCGCTCCTAGCCCAGCATGTTTCCTTTTGATTCAGCTGCGTGCGTCGGGCCTATTTTGTCTGTCCTGAAGCCAGGCATGTATCGTCCTTACCTGCCCTCAGACATGTGTGTGTGTGTGTGTGTGTTTTGTCTGTTCTGAGCCTCAGACGTGTGTGTGTGTGTGTGTGTGTGTGTGTGTGTGTGTGTGTGTGTGTGTGTTTTGTCTGTTCTGCGGCCAGGCATGTATCGTCGTTACCTGCCGTCTGAGGCCAAAGACCACATTGCTTGCTTTGCGTTTCAGGCAGGCGTGTGTGTGGTGGTTTGTCTGATCTGAGCCAGTAGGTTATAGGTCCATACATCTGGGACGAAAGGCCCTCCCCCTCCGTGCAAGCATGGATTCGAACCAACGCCCTCGGACCTGAGCCGGAACACATGTTTTCGTCTGCTGGGAGATCAGTTTGCTTCACTTCACTTTGCTTTGCTTTTAGGGAGCCTTGTGTGCATTTTGTACCTGTTCCTTTTTTTTAATAATCAGAGTCTTTTTTTGAATCATTAAAAATTTTAGAAAAATACAGCTGTCTTCTCCTCATATGTTGGGGACAAGATTCCAGGCGTTGGGCATTTTGTCTGAGTTCTCAGCCCAGTGACACGTTCCTGGCCCAGCCTAAAAAAAAAAACTGAACCCCTTTTTTTAGTCAGGCCGGTTCTTTCTTCCAGGCCTTGCTGCTGATGCAGCAGTGCGCTAGGCCACACGTTTCGGGCTTGGGACTAAGTTATTTTGGCCACATGGCCTCCCATCTGGACCAACGATTCACTTTCAGATCGTACGGCCCAGATGGAGGCCAGCTTGAGTGTGACTCCACACCCCAGCACGATTTAGGAGAGGCCGGCCCAGTAGTTCGAGGGTAGGATCTCACTTCCTTCATGTGCCACCAGGCTTCCCGCTGGCGGAGCTAAGCGCTGGTGGAGGTAGAGGAGCAGCGTTACAGGAGCCAGAGGTAGGGCTGTAGGAGGCAGAGGTTGAGGTAGAGAGCTGAGATGGGGGAGTCCACTCACCTGGAGCCATATCCATGGAGGTTCACCACCAGCCATAGCTGGTTTTCTTCTTCTTCTTCTTCAGATCCCTGCAGTGCACTGGCGGCTAGTGGTGTAGGAGAGAGAGAGGGAGTGAGAGGTGGGGTGGAGTTCACTCACCTGGCTCCATATCCATGGAGGTTCGCCACCAGCCATAGCTGGGCTTTATCCTCTTCGGGATTCCTGCAGTGCATCAGCGGCTCAAGGCTCTGCCTTTCACAGGTCAATAGCAATCACATGAGAGAGAGAGAGAGAGAGAGAGAGAGAGCTGTCTCTTATACACATCTAGAGGCTTGGACCAGAGCAGGACCAGGGCTTGGACCAGGGCTTGGATCAGGACCAGGGCTTGGATCAGGACCAGGGCTTGGATCAGGACCAGGGCTTG